CCGCCACCCCCCCCCCCGTTCCACTTTCCTGTTGTCCCATCTTTTGTTTTTTGTTTTTTGTTTTGTTTTTTTGTCTTTGTCTTTGTCTTTTGTTCCGGGAAAAGACGCTTCAGTTGTTTTTGGCCGACACGTCCCTCTGCGTTTTGTGTGTCCGCGAGAACATCCCCGTTTGGCCTTTTGCTTTGCTTCTCTCCGGCCCACAGCGGGGGCCATCGCGGATTTTTTTTTTTTCTTCCACGCGGCCCGCTCCACTCCTCCCCTGTCTGCACGACGAACTGTTCGAAACGGGGGATTTGTGGCTGATGACGGGAGCGCCATGAAAACATCGTAAAAAAAAAAAAGGAGAGAGCGAGAGAGCGAGAGAAATAACAGAAAAAAAAAAGGCTTCAGCGGAAGGCCTATTTTTATTTTTATTTTTGGTTTTTTGTTTTTGTTTTTTTACCGACTTTTATTTCTTTCATTTTTTTTTTTTTTTCGGTGTGATGAAGCAAAGGGAGAGAGGTGAAGGGGAAGGGAAGCATAAATATTGACTGGTATATTCCCATAAGTGGAGAAAATCTTTTTTTTTTTTTTTTGTTGTTGTTGTTGTTTTGCTCCTCTCTTTTTCACTCACGCAGAAAAAAAAAAAAAAAAAAAAAAAAACTTCGTATGACTTGTTTCTTCAGGAACTTATTTATTGATAATTATTTATATTTATTGACACGTAAATGGGTGGCATTATGCCTCCCTATGCATGCGCATGTGCTGTAAATGCAAATAAGGAAGGACGGAGAGGGGGCGAGGGGCGGGGGAAAAGGGGAATTTGGTTTTATTTATTATTTTTGTCTGTTATTATTATTTTCTTTTTGTTGTTGTTGTTGTTTTTCATTTTTGATTTCTATTTTATTTATTTATTTATTATTATTATTATTATTATTATTATTATTATTATTGTAAATCACTGCTTTGCGATTGGTCTTAGCGGTTTTCTTAAAACCACCCATTACAGTGCGCAATAACATTGATGTATGCATCCATTATTATGTTTACATCACACATGTAAGCGGAAAAACATAAATAGGACGGTTTCTATTGGGCTTTAAGAGGCATGTGGAGGAGGGGGGCGTGAGCTTTTGTTTTTATTATTATTATTATTATTATTATTATTATTATTATTTTTCTTCTAATTCTATTTATTTATTTATTTATTTTTTTTTTTTTTTTTTGTGTGTGCGCATGTGCGTCATGTGCGTGCACTTCCAATTTCTTAAAATGCCCCCATACATTTCAGCAGTGCACGCGCAGGGAGCTCAAAAAGGAGAGCTGTGTGGGTTTGTTTCTTGGCACAAGAGGGGAGGAAAAGGGGGCAAATTTGTACTGTACGGATTTGCACGGAGGAGGATTGTGTGGACTTTACGAAAATAAAAGGGGGGCCGAAACGGAGAGATGTTGACGCCCTATCAGCTGGAACTCGTGGAGCAGGCTTTTCACTCCTTGGCTCCGAAGGGTGATGATGCTCTCCCCCGCATCGATGAGATATTCCGCGTCTTTGACGTCTCAATGCACCCGCGAGTGAAGGAGGGGGTCATGTCGCCAGGTGCTGTCCGGGAGATGCTGGCGTATCAGTTTGGTGAGAGTGAGAAGGAGCAGAACGGAGTCACGTTTGACGTGTTCATGCGCTTTCACGAGCGAATGGCTATGGAGGCGGTGAACGAGTGTGTTTCCGACACCGAGGGCTTCTTGACGGACACAATCAAGGGTGTGTGGCGCCTGCACGAGCTGCTGGAGCCCACGTTTATTCGCCCCGCCATTCCGATTGAGGGGTTCCCCAGCAACATTTACGCCACGCAGTTGATGTCGCTTGTGTGGCCGGATGAGAGCAAACCGCCGAGGTCTTACGTGCTACGTGTGATTCATGGCGTCGTGCAACCCCTTTTCTCGCGTGGTGATTTGCCACCGGAGCTTCGCGGGTTTTTTGCGTACCCGGCAGAACTGGCGGGCATGAAGCTCATTGAGGTTCCTGTACAAATATCCATGCAGCGCTGGTTAGACTTTGTCTGGGAGTACGCGGAAGGGAAATATGTGGCTGTACCAGGCATTATATCTGCTCGCGTCGATCTAGAGACCGTGCCGGAGTATCTGCGGAAGCTCATTATTGAGCCCAAGGTCGTGAAGCAGCTGCCATCTGTACAGTTTGTTTCGACAATAAAGGCGCTAAACCCAATGTACAAACGGACGAGCGACGGATACGGCTATGGTATACCGGAAGAAGTCAAGCGTGTGCATCGTTGGAAGTCTGAGACACATGACGGGACGGCGTGTGGACTGATTTACCACGGCCGCGTGGGCAAATTCACGAAGAAGCTCTACGGTCAGGCGCAGTCCCTGGCTGCAAGTGGAATCAATCTCTGATGTAAGTTTTCAATAATAATAAAAAAATATTTAGAAAATATGTTGTTTTTTTATGGAACACGCAGACTCTGTATTATATAGATACCCACGGGCGCAGTTGCTTTGAAAAAGAATCAGAGGCATTTATTTATGACGGGTGCACTTTCCTTTGCTTCTTTGCGCCTCCCTTCGCTTTTTTTGTTTTTTCCCCCATTTGCCTTCCTCTCTCTCTCTCTTTCTCTCTGTGGTGTCTACGTGTAACTGTGGTATGTTTTTTGTTGTTGTTGTTTTTGTTTTTTTGGCAGGGTTAGGGAGAACGGTGTGAGAATGAGCGGGGAAGTGAAGGAATTGGTGCACTGGCTGCGTAAGTGGGACCCCATCAACAGGAGTCTCCTTCACTTTGCCAATCACACTCACGCGCTGTACCCGTTTGAGATTTCTTGTAAAATTCTGCGGGCAGTGTCCTCGTCCTCAGTTTCTCTGGTTGGAGGGCATGAGGGCAGTGAGGCATCACCACAACCGGAGGAAACCGAAGGGGGAATGGTGTTGGCAGGAAATGCCGAGGAGGAGGCTTCGGCAGCCTTCACTGAGGCAGCGGATAGTAGCAACATATCGGTTTTGTACGCACGGGTGTATGATATGCTTTCCACCTTCGGCAAAGTAGAGTTCTGGTCGAACGCTGTCATTTTTCAGCACTTGCTTGTCTCGTCCCTTTTGGCGTGGGTGGCGCGGTTGTGTGCGAGCAGCGGCGATCGTCTGCATGCGTGCCCAGCCATATCCATTGAGGAGTTGACCCCGCAATTGCTCTGGTGGAAGTCCCATGAGTTGAGGGATGTTTGGGAAGAAGCGGTGAGAAACAACAGCAGACCGTGGACGGAGCTGGCGGGGCTGATGTCGACGGAGGCGGAGACGGATAGAAAGCGTTCTCGAGAGCGATCATTGGTCACAGTCACGTCGTGCGCATCATCATTGGAGTTGCGGCCGCATAAAGTTGGCGAAGGTGAGTGCAATTCCGGAGCAAGGCCTCATGGACAAGAGGAGCGGAAGAAAACGGAAGAGGAGGTGGAGGATATACTGGACCTACACAGTCTTGTCACCTTCGCCCTGCACTATTGTCGAATGCGGTGGATTCTGAAAGTTGTTTTTCTGCGCGTGGATGTTGAGATGAACGACATTGCATGGCGTATCATGCGAAGTTGTGTCCACGCAACACTGGAGCAGAATAGTACGATGATACGTAGAGTCCTGTGCCGCACGGTTGAATATTGTGTAAAGGGCTCTCAGAGTCCTGACGGCTTCAAGGCAGTGGAGCTGTCTCAGGTAGAAGGACAGGAGTGTTTCAATGACTTTTCCTCATCCTCAGTGTCACTGGATGCATTGAGGCGTTTAAGGAATCGTGAAATTTCGCTGGTCTGTCGAGTGTTTTCAATGTTGGATGAGTGTTGTGTTCATGATATTTCTCGCTTTGCTACCGATGGGGTCGTTCAGTTCAATCAACAGCACGGCTATGAACTGGCATGCCGCAACTTGGGACCTCTTGTTGTGTCCAATGGAAAAGACGAAAAGGAAAAAGTGCCAGCTCTTCAGGATGCCTTTGTAGCGTTGCAGAACTGCAACAATGGTTTCATGCGACTGCGCGCTGCTATGCTGCTTTACTTTGGCGGCACAACACATTACGTGGATGAGTTGTCAGGGCCTGGACGCGAAAGAGTGGCACAGGCGGAACGTGCATTCTCCGTTGGGTTCTGCCAAGGGGTCGTTCTGCTTCAATTTGTTGATGTGTGGACCCTACCTCTGTGGTTATGTGCGTGCGAGGAGGAACATGAACGGCGACTTTTTTCTGCTTCCCGACACGCGCGGTGGCTCAGCGTGGACGATATGTCTGAAGGACGCGACAGCTCCATTGTTTTTCGTTCCTTTAGTGAAGCAGTGTCGCAGCTGGGCGAGGTGGAGAACATCAAAAACAAGTACAGTTTACATATTAGTAGTTTGCCGCTGAGGCCGGGGCTTGAGACGCTGATCTTTTTTCTTAGCCCAGAGCCGAAGCTGCTCTCGGAGTTTGAAACGCGTTTTGCGGCATCTGTGCGCAGATATCTTGAGGAACTCCTTCAGAAGTCGCATACGAACGGAACACCACTGCGGGCTCTTCCGCGTGACGTTTACCAGCGCTGTGTGTTTCTCCTCCGTCTGACGAATCAGCTGCTGGAGGCGTCTGCCGCAGCCGGGTGTGAGGGGGCGCACGCAACATTGCGCGCAGTGCGGAGGGGCATGCAAACCTTCTTTGTGGAGCGTGAGCCGTGTGTAATACTCACCCTGGCAAGTGCTCTTCATGCCCAGGTGACTGGGAGGAATCCGCATGGGGGTTCAAATGGTGACGATGACAATAACATGCGTGGCTTTGGTGGCGCATATCTTGAGGTCCTTGACACAATTCTAGAGCTTGCCTCTCTTCTTCACTCGAAGGATCTTTTTGTGAATTGTTATTGTGGCCTGTTGGCAACCCGGCTTATGATGGCACAGCACGCGTTGACGTTGGATATCGACACGGAAGCCATTTCACGTATGGCAATACGTCTAGGGGATTCACTCGCGGCAGAACCCTTTGCGCTGCTCCGTGACGTCCGTGCTAGCATGACGGATCCACGCTGCATCACACCCGACACCGGGGGCGTGCAGCAGTCTGAGCTTCTTCGACACGTGCGAGTCCTCTGCAGAATCCGCTGGGAGAAGTACGCTCTTGTTACGGTGAGGCTGTCAGAGGTGCAGCGCTGCTTCGAGGAAGAGCAGTGGTTTGACGCGGGAATGTTGCACGCGATGCAGTCATTTGAGAAACGCTTTGACACCACCGAAGGCAGTGCGTCGGGAAACAATTTGAAACTGAATGCTTCCCTTTTGGGGAGTCGTGACGCCGGATTTTTTGGCGGTCGTGGGAGCCTTGGGAACGACGATGAAGAGGAGAGTCATGTGATTTCCCGGAATGATCACGTGTTGACTGCGGCTGGCGGTGGGGGTGGTGCAGGTGGTGATCGAAGCGCCGGGTCCTCCCGCAGTTCTCCTCTTGGGTCCGCCTCTCTCCCCGCGGCAGGAGGCGCGGTGCAGCGGCGGCGGCTCTCTTGGTCCCTTGGAAGTGGCGTGCTTACTGTGGTGTGCCACGCGGCGAGGGGGAGTCCGGGCGACGCTGCCTCGAGTGTGCAGCTGGTGATGCCGCCCGTCGGTCTGCTGCTGCTGCAGGCACTCGAGCGATACGGCGACTCCTCGACCACGGCGTCATTGTCAGGCCCCACTCGCTGCACGTTAGAATTTCTGCACGGCAAACTGCCTGTCGATGTGCCGAAGCCACTCCTCGCTGCCGTTTTGGGCGGACTTGTGCGGCACCGCATCGTGCGGCGAACCGTCCACGCCGGCAGCCACGGCAATGACGGTGGCGATGGCGATGGCGGTGGGTTCAGCACGTACGGTTTGCCGGCATCGTTTGAGGGCTGCAAGAAGCGGAAGGTCGTCATTGATGTTGAAAACGCGATGCACCACTGGGTGCCGTACTTGCAGGAGGGCCCGGATGACAGCAAGGCAATTGTCATGACGGTCGACGGCATTATTGACACGGAACGGCTGAGGAAGCTGGAGGCGGGCATCGTACGCATCATGAAGGAAAAACGTTCTCTTTCGCATTTCGATCTTTTTGCCTCCGTTGCAGAACTACTCATGACGCATTTTGTGGTCACGGCCCCGGTATTCAAGCGCTGCATGGCACGACTCATTGAACGGGAGTTTATTGCAAGGAGTGAACGAGACACGTATGTTTACGTTGCCTAAAGTACCTTTTTTGTTGTTGTTGTTGTTGTTGTTGTTGTTGTTGTTTTTCCACAGTACACATGCATTTGGCATACATGCTCTCTGTATATTTCTTCCTTTGTGATTGAGATATCCATATATATATATGCGTTTTTATTTGTGTTATTTACCAATAAAATTATGATGAAAGCAAGCGAGCCGAGCGAAAATGAGCGCACGGAAATATCCTATGAAATTACACAAAGAAGGAAAAGCAAAACAAGGAGGGAAGGGAGGAGGGTGTAGAAAAAAAGGTAAAAGAAAAATGTTTATTTGTTTATATTGGACGTTTTGCATTTGACGTATAATATTTGCATATGAACATCTTTTTATTTTTACGGCTAATTCCTATATTAGCAAAGAGGCATAATCCGATTTTTTTTCATGCGGTTTTGTGCGTGTCGTCATGTGTCATTTCTCTACCTTCCGCAGACGCATCCAGACGTCTACTCGTTATTTATTTATTTATTTATTTATTTATTTATTTATTTGTTTTTGTGTGCGTGTTGTTTTTTCTTATTTCTTCAGTCAACCCAATCGTACCAAATGACAATCCACCCCATCCTCCTGCCCCTCTTTTATCTGCTTGTTCCAAGTAATGCTAAGAAGGAAAAAAATGCTTCGAGACGAAGCGAAAATAAGTGCGGGATGACCCTCATGTTCGTTGGCTGCTGGTATGGGGAGGAGGAGGAGGAGGAGGAGGGGGTTGCCCCGCCGATTCCCGCGTGTGATCCCCCCACACACACACAGCGCTTACGAGCCCCGCGTGTCACCCTGCAGGCACACGTGGAAAAACGGCTGCCTCTCCCTTTTATGTGTTGGCTTTCTCTCCTCACCTCATTAGGAACACACGAAAAGCGGAAAGGGAATTTGGCTTTGTCCTTAATCTCATTTTTTTTTTGTTGTTGTTGTTGGTTTTGGTGTGTGTTTTCCTCTTGGCCAAGTTGCATATAAATTACAAGTGTGATATCGACTGCACATACCGCAAAAAAAAAAAAAAAAAAAAAATGAAGAGGGTTGGGATGTCTTCAGTGCCTCTTACAACTTATATCGAGCAATTGAAGGCCTTGGATGGCCTCCTGCAGGTTTCCGGGAAGCCGCAGAATCTGCGCATCGTTGGCGAGGAGCTCTACTGGCTGCAGGGCATCGAACAGGAGTTGTACGCCGTGAGTCTCGTGGATGAAAACGCAATTCCAAGGCGTGTCATTGCACCACCGGAAGATGCGGGGTGCGAGAGTACACCCACGAAGTCTCAGCCAAGGTCCAAGGAGGAGGAATTACTACGCGAACGGCTTCGCAGCCAAGTGAGCGGTATTAGTGGTTATCAAATTGTCCCCTCCGACGGCACCGTGTTTTACACCTCTGGCACGAGCATGTTCATGTACCGTCCGTCAAATGCCAGGCCTCCTTTGAATATTTTTGATTGCATCGACGAAGAGGAGTCTCGGCGCCACTTTGGCGATAGGAAGAGGCCGTTTCTCTGTCTCCAGCACCTCCAGTACCCTGAAAAGCCCGGAAGCACAGGGGGGAATGCCGGACGGTCACTCAACGTCATCAGCTTCGTGTATGGAAGTAACTTGTATATTGCAACTGTCGTGGAGCAGGATGATACACGTGCGGCTCCCATTCATGTCGAGGTGGAGTGTGTGACAAACTTTGGAGATGCATTGCATGAATGTGGAACAGCCGATTACATTATGCAAGAGGAGTTTGGTCGCTACACAGGACACTACGCCACGGAGAATTATGTATTGTTCAGTTACACCGATACATCCATGCTGAAAAACGTATCCCTCATCGACGGCAGTGACAAATCAAGTGTGGAGACGATGCCATATGCCTGGGTTGGGGATCCCAATGCTCGGACGTTGCTCGTCGTGTACGTGCGGGAAACCAAATGCTTCCGTGTGGTGCCAGAGAAATCAATCTCGGCAGTGGCACCGTGGGCAGAATACATGCCCCGCTTTGGATTCAAGGATGATGAGACGATTTATTTCTCATTGCTCAGTCGCACGCAGGAGCGGTACTGTGTCCTGTCATGCCTTATCGACTCCCTGCCGGAGGTGGACGTCACGGCGCTGTCGTCGTACTTCTTCACAGATCCTGCGAACAGGGACACAACGACACGAATAATGGTCTCGTTAACCACGGAGTGTGAGGAGCACATCCCGTGGGCGTGGGTGGACGTACCACGGGGTCCTCCCATTCTTTTTGGAAGCACCCACGACGTTCTTCTCCGCCATGCCACCGAAACAAAGACGGCAAATTGGCACATTTACGTGCGGGATCTGGCGGCGGACAGCAAGGAGGAATGGCGTCCACTGACAAAAGGAAACTGGAACGCAAAACCCGGCAGCTTACGGCTTCTGCAAGACCGTGTGGTATTCATGGCAAATGCGGACGGCAGGCTTGGTAATGCCCTTTACAGTGTTCCGCTGGGCTTCTCTTCCGTGGAACCCGCAACAGCCGCGCAACTCACACGATTGTCACCTTCTCACGAACACGTGTACAGTTTCACAGTTCGGAACGGCTACATCTGCTATGTTGCGAGCACAGCAGAGACACCCCCACAGTTGTACATTGCCTCGCTTCTTTCACCCGAATCACGGCGTCTCGTTCAAACAAAGGTTCAGGATAGCGACAAAAAAGGTGCTGTTGATGAAGGAAAAGGCACCCCAATTTCGTTTCTGCACAGTGATGACCTTATCAAGACCGAACTTGTCACCACCATCAGCCGACGCGGTGTTCCACTCAGTGGTCGATTGTTCAGGTCGCCCACCGCTGTCCCGGGCACGCCAGCTCCGCTAGCCATGTATGTTTACGGCGGACCACATGCCCAGCTGGTTTACGAAAATGACTACGAACTTATTTGCAAGCCACTTTTTCAGGTTATGGCAAAGAACGGCATCTCCGTCCTGGTTGCAGACGGGCAAATGAGTAATGCCAACGGTCTGGTGGATCTCCGTATCTGCAAGCATAACATGGGGAACTTTGAAACGTCAGACTACGTAGACCTTGCAAAACATGTCACAGCTTCTCCCCTCCAGCCGAGCGGTTTTATTGCCGATCCCACAAGAATTGCCATCTTTGGGTGGTCCTACGGAGGGTATGCAACGCTTCTGGCGATGTCACAGGCGTCCGATACATTTAAGATTGGCTTTGCCGGCGCTCCAGTGACTGATTGGACGCTTTACGACACGGGATACACAGAGCGATACATGGGTGAGCTTTATTCCAGTGATGCTGGCGCCGTGGAGGCCCAAAAGAGGAACGTCAAAAGCGCTGCGTACACAAAAAGTACAATTAGCCAATTTGTTACCGGCCTCCCGGATGATCTGAATCGCCTATTCATCGCCCATGGTCTTCTGGATGAGAATGTTCACTTCACCCACTCCTGCGCTCTCATCAACGCAATGGTTGCTGCGGGAAAGCCGTTCAGTATCCTCACTTACCCGGGTGAGCGTCATGGGCTTCGACAAAAAAAAGTCTCTCGTCTCCACCATGACGCGATGCTGATAAAAACACTGGTAGAAATGTTGTGAGATCCACCCACAACCTTACTTTGCTGCTTTGCACTCAGAGAGGCGGCTTCAAGTGATGCAATGGGTTGGCGTAGTTAGTAACAGCAAAAAGAGATCGAGACATGACCATGGCCGATTATTACCGCCAAAATATTTGGCCCCACACAAACCGTCAGTATCTGTCCTGCTGACCTTCTACCTCACCATCTTCTTAATCATCAACACTGCCATTACCTTCTTTTTTTCTTTTTTTTCTTTTTTTGTTTGCTTACATTTGCTTTTTTTACACCACGCTACTGTTCACGATCATGATGAAGTTGCCATTTTACTATTGGAAGACGAGTCTGAACCCTGATGCATCGCTGTTATACGGCACTGATCAATGCGACAGACAGGAGGAGCCCGTACCTGTCATGTCACACCCCTCAACACACCTCCCATCTTTCTGCGTGCCCACGCGGGCAGGAACGTGGCAGGCCGCAGAGGGTTGCCATTCATTCCTCGTGCGGTTCAACAACATGGTCCAAGAGAACGCGGTGTGCCGGCAGCACGTGATGAGGAGCTTCTTATGTATGTAACTCGGGAAATCTGAGTGTGCCACTGAAGAACCAACGGAGAAATCGTTAGATAGTGACGCTGATGCCGCCCAGCCCAACCG